TGACATCCATCTGTACTTTCCACACACCCTCCAGAGTCTTTGTGGCTCACCAGCCAGCCAGAACGTAGATGGCGGGGGTCAGCCCTAAGTCTAAATTGTCTATTAGCATGAGTACCATGACGGTATTCACTTACTTCTGAGTGTCTAGCCTTTGGGCAACCTATCAAGACAATCTCTCTGCTCTATAAGATCGTTCTGAGGATAAAGTGTGAGGACCCACTTAAAAAGCTTAAAACAACGTGTGATGCCCAGAAAGTTCCCATGGATACAGAAGGCTCTGAGCATATGCCTTTAAAGTATGTAGTATGCATGGTTTTGGCTATAGTCGCTATGTGTGCAAAAGGTCTCCAAGTTGTGCAACCCATCTGGAACTATGGCCTTCCTGTGGATTTTTTAGCTTTTCCAGATTTTTCCTTTGTAAGTTAAGTCTGAGTTGGAAGGACCTGTGCCCTGGGGACAGTACAATGGGCCACCCTTCCGTGATGGCTTTGGTTCCCAGCCAGCCGCTAAATGCCTCCAACTTCCCATAACAGCTCCAAGCACAGACAAGCTGGTCCTTGAGCTGTAAGCCTGTAGGTCTTTGCCAATCTGCAGGAAATGGGGCCACTTTGGTGGGTTTCTGCCTTGCTGCAGCTGTCTGACAAGGGCAGGCCCAGGCTATCTCAGTGATCCAGAGCAGGAGGTTACACCCAGTAGGCGTGTGCTGGCTGCTGTGTGTGGGCACTGAGGGGTCGGGACCAAGCCAGTGTCAGGTTTACCATCCTCCTAGGCCTGCTGTGTCACCTCTCAGGCCAAGAGCACCAGGAGGACACCCGGGAGGGGTCAGAAGTCCTCAGAAGAAACGCCAGATGTCCTAGTTTGTTTGGGTTGTGTCTTGTTGGGTTTTGTGAGGGATAGGTGTGTGTGTGTGTGTGTGTGTGTGTGTGTGTGTGTGTGTGTATGCATGCATATCTGTATATATATATATACAGATATGCATATATATACAGATATATATTTATATATGTGTATATATATATATATATGTATGCATGTATGAATGTCTGTGTCTATGTATGTATATGTATGTATGTTTGTATGTATGTATGAGTGAGTGGTATATGCCCGGGTGTGCTGATATGTACACAGCCTGGGGGAAGATTCCAGGCATCCTGCACTATCATCCTGTCTTATTCCTTTGAGACAGGGTCTCTTGCTGAGCCTGGAGCTAGACTTGCTGCCCTACGACCCTCTTGTTTCCGTCTTCCCCCAGCACTGGGGTTACAGGCACCGTGGCTGTTCGAAGCTTTTTATGTGGGTGCTTAGAACCCACACTCAGGACCTCATGTGTCCACAGCAAGCGCTCTTACCCGCTGAGCCACCTCCCCAGCCCCTGTTTTGGTTGGTGTTTTGTTTTGTTTTGTTGAGACAGTGTCTTGCTGTTTAGTCCTGGGTGGCCCTAGTGCTATAAGGAGCAGGATGGCCTTAAACATGCTGTGACGCTCCTGCCTTCACGTTCCAGTGACCGTGACCACTACCCCCCTGCTCTCCTGGAGCTTCTGCAGCCATGAGCAGAGGAAGAAGCATATAGGGCAGCCTTAGCCGATCTGAGTTCCAACCCAGCTCTGCAGGCCTTGTGCTGTGCCGGTGCCTGGCCTCCGGGAATCAGCCTCAGGGTTAGAAAACGTGCTGAACGTGCCCTATCCCATGATGTGACAGCAGAACTAAATGAGATATTTGTCAGCTGCAACACCTAAGCACTTAGCAGGAGCCAATTGTCTGAAAATAGCCTGTGAGGGGCTCTCAGACTCTGTGTCACGGGCCCCTGGGGCACACTGGTCTCCATCTGAGCTCTGTACTGGGTTTTCCTTGCTGGTTCTCCCTTGTTATCATTAAGGCTGTCTAACCCTCAGCAGCCCCTGCCCTGGAAGCCCAAAGTTCTCAAGGAAAACAAGAACTTCTCTAGCAACAAGTGGCCTACCTGGACTCAAGTCTGTCATCTTCCAGACATGGGAGAAAGACGGCAAGTCACCGCCAGCGTGTACGGGTCTGACTGGTAGAACCAAGTTGGTCAATGCTGAGAACTTCACCCTTCATCCCTTTGGCCTGTGTAGTGTTATGGAACCATCGGGATGAGTTGCTAAGATTGGGAAACCAAGGACTCTCACCTGGCCCTGGACTCACACCCCAGCTTCGGCTGCACTGGGGAGCCATACCCCCTTAAACACTGGGCTCCAGGGCGGCAGCCTGCCAGTTCCCACCTGGCCCTCAGTTCCAGGGTTTCCAGCCCTGTAGGCATGCAGATTTGTATCCCTCAAGCTGGGGACTGCTGCACACATCTGAGTGCATTCGCGGGCAACTTTGAGGGTCCCTCCACCCCGTTTCCTCACCTCCGAGCACCTATGCTGCCTATGACGGAGATGCCCCCTATTACTTGAGAGGACTCCTCTATGCTTCTCTGCAAGCCCCTCCTACTGAGCGCTAGATACCCTGTGCTGACCTCTTGGAAGAGTATACCCTGTGCATACTCTTGGAAGCTTAGCCTTCAGTGTAACTGTGTAAGGTGGAAAGCAGGGCCTTACAGGAGGGTGTTTAGGTCATGAGACCACCCCTCTTTCATGAAATGACTGTTGCTATAAAACTGGCTTGCAGGAGTGAGGTCCCTCCCCTTCTGGGCTTCTTTGCTACATCAGATGCTGCATCCAAAGACCAGGCCCCTAACCTGCCAGTGCCTTGATCTCACAGGAAGTGAGAAACAACTCTCTCACTCCATCTGTGGTAATCTGTTCAAGGGGTCAATGAAAACGCTATCTTTCTTGCAGACTCAAGGATGCTGTCACTGCAATTTCCCCTCTCCACCTCCATCACTTTGTGCTAGACTCCCTTCCTCAGAACACAGACACAGAGCCGTTTCTCCATCTTAATCAGTTTTCTCTCACCCCTTCCTGTTCTGCTAGCTTTGGATCTGTTTTCCTTCCCAACCAAACGCAAGGACTGACTACTGCCCATTAGGTCCAATTCACCTGTTCCCAGCCTCTTAAAATTACCCCATTCACGCCTTGGTATTACTGTTTAACCAAAATTGCTCTTAAGGATATCACTAGAGCAAAATGTGTGCTACTAAATCTAAGTGTAAACTCTTTGGCTTACTTTATTGCCATGTCAGCGCCATATTTTTTTTTAAACTTAAAAATATTTATATATTTATCTATCTATTTCTTTATTTCGGTTTTTCGAGACATGGTTTCTCTGTGTAGCCTTGACTGTCCTGAATTCAACTTGTAGACCAGGCTGGCCTCAAATTCACAGAGATCCACCTGCCTCTGCCTCCCTGAATGCTGGGATTACACGCATATGCCATTGTGGCCTGGCTAGAATATTTAATTTTTAAAGTTTAAACATGTAAAATATTTATGTGTGTGTATTTGTGCAGTATACATGTGCCACTTCGCACGTGAGGAAATCAGGTGACAATTTTCAGGGGTCAGTTCTCTCCTTCATCACGTGGGTCATAAGGATCCAATTCAGGCTATCAGACTTGGCAGCAAGTACCTTCACCCACTGAGCCACCTGGCCAGTCCCATGACAGCACTGTTTGTCAAAACAGGTCACTCACCTCCTAGACGATTCCTTCAGTTGGTGTCACACACAACTGACTCAAGGCTAATTGCTTTTCATTCTTTCAAGGTTCTGAGTCTTTTCCTCGACTCAAGCGCTTCTAGCCTCAGAGCTACCCCAGAGCCAAAAGGCTTGGGACTGGAAGGGTCACAAATTTGATTTGGATCTCTTGGTTTCCTCCTTCAGATTTTGAAAGTGTGCATTGCATCCTTAGCTATCTGGATGATGGGGACCAAGTTTAAGTATGAAGTTCATTCGTGTTTTGTTTTTACCTTATACAGATAACCTGGGAGCAATTCTAGACAATACTTTACACACTTTTGTGCATGGAACAGAAGTTTCATGATGTGACCTTAGTTGAGTTGGTGGTCAAAGTTTTAGATTTTGGAACGAGTTGGGCTTGAGAATGACTGCTGGGTCAGGGGTGCTGTGCAATCCCGATTCTTCATACATACACTCCCGTGGAGGTTTCATGTGGTCCTAATCACCACATCAGTAACTCCCTGATTCGTACTTCTCCACAGGCATTGTCTGGATGCCTGGGCTCATACATCCCACAGCTATCCAGCCCTCTGTTTCACACACACCTCAGACTAAATTACTCACCTCCCCCCAGAGCCTATCCCACTGGTGGTTGCAGTTCAAGCCACAGTGACTCCTGACACTGTATTTCAACACACAAACTGTTGTCAGCACTCTCTCTTCAGCTGGGTTCCTGATTGCTAACCGCTGTCCTGGTTTCCTTGATTTTCGCCCCTGCTGTCTATTCACAGTGTAGCAGCAGGACGACTGATACCCTCTAAGGACTCCTGTGAGCTGGCCACAGCTCCAAGACCCTACGTGAGCGAGTTTCTCTGCATTCACCCCCACCAATCTTCCCTCACCCCTTCTGCTCTGCCATCTTACCTATTGGCTTGGACTCAATGTGGGCACGTGCCCAGTGTAAGCCTTCGCCCTGGCCCGGTCCTTTCTCCCGGAGCATTCCCTCACAAGGCTGTGACCTTCAATGGCAGCATGCAACTGTAATCCCAGTATTGGGGAGGCGAGTGCAGGAAGGCTTGGAATTCAAGGTCAGCCTGGGGTACATAGTCCCAGTCTCAAAATAGCACCCAAATATGCCACCTCTTCAAAGAAACCCGGTCCGAAACCCCTCTCTGCCTTCCTTAGGATAGTCTGGCTACCTTTACTGTACTGCCCCTTTTTCTTGTTTGGCATGTCGTTTTCTGTGGTTCACTCATTTATATTTCCACTTGATTGTTCCCCATCTCCAATTCCCAAGTGCTTAGGTGGAGGGGGAGGGGTTAAGTGTATAATAAGCAACTGACAAATTGCTTCTTGAATATTGTTATGTGAACTTCTTAGAAGGACCGTGTCTTTAAAAAGATCACCAGAGTTTTGTGGCTCAAAAATTATTTTTTTGAAGAACAAATACTCCTTAAAAACAAGCTATTGAGATGGAGGGCAACTCAAATTCCAACTGTAGCTCTAGCCCTGAAAGGTTCTTTCTGGCTCACAGCCAACATCAGGACCAGGATTCACCGCCTGTGCTTTGAGCCTCCCAGCCCGGGGTTACCAGGCAGTGGCAGCCTTGGATCTACTACTCCCTGACTCACAACAGTAGGTCAGACAGCAATTCTACCCCCCACAGGTGAGATTCCCCCAGCATCACCTCAGAGGAGGGAGGCTGTGGGGTTTACCACACCAAGTGGGCACCGGATGTCTAGTATGTGCTGAGAGCAACAACAACAGTAGTAAATACAGAACAGAAAATAACCGTCTCTGAAATGACAACAAATAGGACACATTATCTAAGCACTAACACCTAAGGAGGCGGCTGCCCAGCTCTGGAGGGCAGCTCCTCAGGAGAAGGAGGCCGACTTCCCAGGCTGCCTGGTCGTCTTCAGTCCTTGTAATTTTTCATCTTTCAGCGCCTTCAGGAATTTATCTGTAGGAGAGCAAAACAGACTCAGCGATAGCCGGGAAGGATTTTGTTTTGTTTTGCAGAGTCTTCCTATGTAGCCCCAGGGTGTTCTGGAACTCTTGATCCCTCTGCCTCCGCCACCTAAGTACTGGGATTCTAAGTGTGCACCACCTTCGCTCTAAGGAATCTTCTGATCTCCAGAGCAAGCTTCTGAGAAGTAACTGCACAATCCTAAAAATTCCTAACAGCTCGAACATATCTAACTCATAAAACGGAAAAGGCCAGCTCTAGGGACCTTTTCTCCTGTGGCTCTGTGTGTATCCTACAGGGTATCGGATGAATTGGAGACCATTCCCATGATGCATACCTAAATATACAGGTTTTTGGTTTTTTTCCCACATTTCACCTCCCTGTGGGAACAATTTAACCTGTGGTACAGATTAGGGGAAATTATCTTTCCAGATCCATCTCCCCTCCTCTGATGGTCAAATTCAAGCCAGACTATGGCTACTAATTCCTGAGCAATTGGAAATAAATCTGGGTTTAACCGCTTTACTGTGGAAAAGAGGCATGAGTTCACATACCAGAGGACCCCTGCTCACATCAGCATGCTTGGTCTGCTCTGGTGTGGATCCCTAAAACCTCAGACTTAAGATCAAATGTCAGGGTCCAAGATCCTGTCAGAGGGGCTTGGGGCCTAGGGAAGGGCAGAGACCAAGGCTCCTCAAGGTTTGGGCAACTTCTAATATCTCCTTTCACCCACAGACCCCAATTTAAGATTTGAATATTGAAGCTCAAAGTCTCTAGAGATAGGCAGCCTGTGGAACCCCAGATTACAAAGTGTGGTGTTACTGTGTAGGAAGATTAAGTTTAGCAAGGGAATGTTTCAGGTGCGAAGACCCAAAATCTACATTACATCAAGGGCCTGATTAGCGTGGTGTGCGGTGAGGCGGGGGTCGGTTGAAATTTAGCACGTGGTGGTCTGGATCTCTGGAGAACAGATTTTTGGGAGTAGGACACCTAAGGCCGGGGACCTTGTGGGGTCATACTGTGGTGCCTGACAGACTCTAGCGGACAATTAGGGCAGCTAGGGTTGGGCTCGGTTAGCAGTCACGCACAGCGCTGGGAGTCGAAGCCATCCCCAGTGATGGTGAGCAGCTCCAGCTCCTTAATCCGGATCTCTAGCTCGCACAGCTCCTCGGGGTGGGAGGCGGAGGTGAGCCAGGGGGTCGTGGAGCCGGGGACCAGGGCCGAAGTTGCCATCTCGGCGGGCCCTGGCGGCGGCGAGTAGAAGAAGCGCAGAGGCTCGTAGGGGATAGAGGCCAGGCCGGAGGGCCAGGGCGGAGGACACGGGCGCTCGCTGGGAGGGCCCAGGCCAGGCGGCGGCGGCGGCGGCGGCGGCGGCGGCGGCCCCGTGGCTGAGGGTGCCAGAGGCAGGGGTCGGACCCCCGCTACTCCTGCTACCCCGGCCGCCGGCGTCCCGCCTGCCTTCAGCGGCACAAAGAGCTTCTTCCAGATGTTAAAGTCGCTCAGCGGAGACGACGAGATGCCCCGGTCGTAGAGCGACGGGAAGTAGAGGGGCGGGGTCGGCCGCTGGCTCATCTTGGGGTTCTGGCTGCCGCGCCGCCCCTTCGGCATCTTTTGAATGGGAGGCTGCGTGAGAGGAACCCCGCGCCGGGAGACGCGCGCCAAAGCCCCGTGTCTAGGAGTTCCGAGGTTCCACAGGCCCCTCCCCGACGGAGCGCGGCCCCGCCCTTCGCTCCGGCCCCGCCCCTGGGAGGCGGGGCTCTGGAGCGCGGAGGACCCGCCCCGGGAGCCGAGCGGCCTTGGCGCTAGCCGGCGTCCTTGACCTCTTTCGGTCCCTGCTGCTGCCCTGAACCGCCCTTCCTAAAATAGCCTCCGTGCCCTTTCCTCTCGGCCCTGGGCTCCTCCCAGCGTCCCTCAATTCTATTTCCACTGCTCCCACATGCGAATACTGCACAAGGAGCTGGCCAAGACTGTGAGAGAAAGTCAGCCTTTCTCTCCTCAGGGAGTGGAAACTATTTCCCCAACAACCGGGTCCTTTGTCCTAGCGGACTTGACTGACTCGGTGTTACTTAGGAACTGAGAGAATGAATGGCAGGCTTCATCCTCTACAGAGGGAGAAGATATGTTTAGCCACCCTGTGGAATACTCTGGGAAGGGGAAACAGTCTGAATTTGTAATGCCTCTGAAGCAAACAACTTTTTTTTTTTTTTAAATAAAATGATAAACGTAAATTATCAGGAGCTGACAGATGCTGAACACCAAAAGCATATCCTCATGGGCCCACCTCAAAGACCACACCCATTTCTGAGAACTAGTTCTGCCCAAGGCACTGGTACTGCTCGCCTCTGTGAAATGTTAGTCAATTAACTAAGGGGAGGTCAATTTCCACAAGGATGTTCTCCTGAGGATCACCTCCACCAATGAACAGGGATGGGTGGGGGCCAGAAAAGATCAGTCTCAGCTCCATAAGTGGATGAGAACTTCCTCTGTGGAGGAGGCTCGCCACAAAATTGCCTGGTGGATTAGAGGCAAATGTCACTCCACTTAGCACGCTGCTTGCCTTGTAAATCAACTCTCTTTCTTTCCTTTTTTAATTTTGATTTTAATATGTGTGTGCATGGATGTATCTATCTGTTGCATGTGCACTCAGAAGCCCACAGAGAGGTCAGCAGATGTGGGTGCTGGGAACGGTACCAGGGTCTTCTGCAAGAGCAATAAGGGCTCTTGATGGACAAACCGTGTCATCAGTGTTGGTAGGTCAGTTGTCTATAAAGCAGAAATAAGAGCACCATGCAGGAACTGCCTTTACGAGTTCCTCTTACAACAAAGAACAAAGGCTATTTTATTATGTAAACAAGAGGCGCCTAAGTTAAATGATGAAAAGAAATATACAGTAGGAATGCCTAAGGGCACAGAAGACCAGAAAGCTCTCCCATTAAGGAAATATTATATACTCCAGCTGCCCACATCCAGTTGCTTGCAGATGGTCGATGGTGAGCATGGGCACTTTTCCTCTCCCAGCAGCTACACGATCTATTGCTTTCTCTTCCTAATTCCAATAAATTGTCGGCAAGTTCCCCTCTATGTCTTATTTTTAAAATTCTTTCATCTGTGACATCAAGAACCTGTTTTAAAAAGGAACCCTGTATCCTACCACGGCAAGGCCATGGCCGCCTTCCTGGCCTCTGATCTTTAAGTCCCTCTTCCTGGCAGCAGGCTGGCTCTTGTTGGGGTTGTTTGTGCCATAATCTAAGAGTCATGCTATTCTAAGAAACACACAACAGCCCTTTTTTACTAATCTGAATTAGCTAGCCATTGTGCTGGTGTAGATTTGAGGGCTTGGGTTTTCCCACCTCTGTCACAATTACCACTCTTTCAAAAAAAAAAAAGTCCTCAAATTGCAGTTCAGCCTTTGCGCTTTTTTTCTAGGTAGATGGATTCCCTTGTTACTTGTAGAAGTAACAAAAATAAAACAAAAAATAACTAGTTAATGAACCTGAATATGAGAGCTAGGTCAGTGGAGTTGGGTGCTGTAAAGACACCTAAAAGAGCAGACATCCAAGTAAACCTCATCAACCAGAACCAACAAGCTGTGCTTAACTTTGATCTGTCTCCTCCAGTTAGGTTCCACCTCCCAAAGCTTCCAGAACCTTCTAAAATAGCCCCACCAGCTGAAGACCAAGCAGCCTAAAGCCAAGCCTGTGGGCACAAGCTGAGCCTGCGAGAAGGTGCTGAAACCTTAACAGAATTGAAAGCTTGAGAATTACGTCTGGAAGGTGCAGAGCCCAGGACAACTATCAGGGACTCAGGAATAGGGCCAGATCAACAGTGTGGCCTTCAGTGAGGCCACTGCCGGGAAGATGCTGCTTCTTGGTGTTCCAGGGACTAGGCCAATCACAGTCCTTTCCCTTTGCTTCCTTCACGCCCAGAGGCTGGAGAAAGTAAACACGGGCTTTCCTCATTCCTCTCGAAGCTCACATGGTTACAAGATCCAGATCCGGCCAGAGTACATGAGCAAGAACACAGCCGAAAGTTTTATAAGAAAGGTTTTAATTTCCTAGTAAGGAAAACTGAAACACCATTTTCCCACCATCTCTTTCTGCCTTGAACTTGAACGCAACGTGGGAAGGTCTACAGTGACTTTGTGTTTGTGAGGGAAAGACCAAGAGTACCACCAAGATAGCAGCCCAGACAGTGTGGAGCAACTGACTGCCAAGCTAGCAGCTGCCTATCTCTGGATAGTTATGCAATGACAAAACCATCAGGTTGTATTTGATTACACTATCTGAAGTTGGGTTGTCCGTTGCTCATAGCTGAGTACCTGTTTCAAGACAACAGAATGATTTTGTTTCACTAGTCCTTGCATAACTTCACTTGGGTGGAACTCCAGAGGAAAACATGCCTGTTCTTTATGCTTTGGCTGTGGGAGCTTCTCTCAAGACTGAACGGATGGCTGTAGTTTTTCGCAAGTTTCTGTTGACGTTTCTGTTACTAGAAGGGAAGGAACAGAGACCCAGTGACAATGAGCCAAATCTCCTATTGCCATAAATAACTCCCTTCATTTTTAACTAACAATGCCCAGATTCTTTTGTTCTGTTCACTGCCTCCCACAGTGCAGGATTGAATTCCCATCTGCTAACCCTCCTCACCAGGAACCTTCTCAGTGAAGTAATTTTTTGTTGCAACAGGTAGAAACCTGGTCAAATAAGTTAAAAAGTCAGAACAATGGAGAAGGGATTAATAAGGGAAGGACTTATTAAATCCCAAGGCAGAGCTGCTTAAAGCCCAACATCCTAGCCAGGGAAATGGATGTCATCTGCGATCTGTAATCTGTGAATACTTGATGGATTTGGGTAGATAGGCGATGCTATTCATATTGAAAACTAAGAAGAATTACATGAGCCACTATACTGATCATGCTTACATTAACGCCTAGCACAAAAGTAGCTCTAGTGTTGTAAGCCAGGACTTGTGGCCTAGGCCTGAAACTTGAACTTCCTCCAGAGGTCAAGACTGGAAGAGCAAAGTTTCAAGGCCTGCTTGGGCAATTTGACAAAAACCTATCTCAAAATCAAAAGGGCCGGAGTTACAGCTGATTGCAGTTGCAGTATGTGCAAGGCCCTGGGTTTAATCCCTCGTCCTGTGAGAATGGAGCTCTCACATAACCACTGTGCTCCCTGATGGGAGGTCATTATTTACCAGGTCTTACTGAGCTGATAGTAGTAGACTTTACAAATTACAACTCAAACCTCCAGGTCTGGCCCAAAAGAAGTCACCACCATCTACCACACCCACACAGAAGTTTCCCCACAGCCAGATTAGCTGGGATTTAAGGAGCCAAGAATAGCAAGGCTGTGAGCAGCAATGCAACCACCCCACCCCACCCCCCACCAAGGAAGCTAATCAGGGGGTGAATACCCACACCTTAGACTAGGAAACTTGAGCCCCTGGTTGAGCAGAGTCATCCCCTGAAGAGCATAAGGTGCCCTTCCCTTTGCTAGGGGCTCTGGATCTACACAGTGGCCGGAGGGGAAGGAATCTTGTTGCTAATGGCACTCACCTAGAAAGTGAGGCATTTGGTGTGGTCATTCTTCTTACTCTCATGTAAAATGAGTACACATGGGAGCCTGAGATAAGATTATTCTTCGAAGAATTTTATTTCAATAATGTAAGAAACTCGGAAGGGAGACCTCCGGTCAGCTCTTCTTTACATCAGTCAGTGGGATAAATATGGTGTGATTGCTACAAGCCTGAATCCTCTGAAGCCCAAACAACCCTGTTCCCTGGTTAGGCAGCTTCTGCGGCTGTGATGATGAAATGCCTGAGAGGAACAACTGAAATGAACAAATTTTATTGTGGCTTCCGGCTTCAGATGCTCCATGGGTAGCTGGCTCTGTTGCTTTTTCATCTGTGATGAGGCAAAGCACCAGGGCACAGATATGTGGCAGAGCAAAGCTGTTTACCTCATGGTATCCAGGAAGCAGAGAGGAAGGAAGTGAGAATCCTCTGCATCCTCTGCATCCTCTGCAGGAGCATGCCCTTCTGCCAGGTACCACCTCCTAAAGATCCTGTCACTGCGCAAGCAATAGCACTACCAACTGGGGACTAAAATGTTCATAAATGTGGTTTTGGATAATACTCCAAACCATAGCACCTCAATAATTTAACCTTTATTGTGACCTGCATGCTGCTTATTAGATACCTCACAAATGTATTCTCCTTCAGATCCAAGGTATATTCAAGGTTGTTTTGGGATTTTTCTTTTAAACCAATGAACAGGACTAGCTGATAAGGTCTGCTGTGCATGAAGCTCTTGGTTCCATCCGTACCACACCCTAAGCTGAGTTTGGTGTCACACACATGCCATCCCAGCACTTGAAGGCAGAAGTGGCAGGAAGATCACAAGTTCGAGGTCATCCTCAGCTATATCGTGAGCTCAAGAATACATGTGGGTATACACGTGGCTTCCAAATACTAACCCCACATACTTAACTGCTGTTATATTAAAATGCCCGCAGTGGGCATCTAGAAACAGAATGTGATATGATGATGGTGTTTGGAAATTATGTTTATAGAAAGGCCGCTGAGTCCTGTAAAGCGAACGCTGTTGGAGAGCTTTTGAGTGACAAAATAGGCATTTATGTTTTTCTTTGTAAGCAAAGGCAGGAACTGTTGTGGATG